ATCTAAGAGTCAATGGGCCATGTGCAAACATGTACAGCTTCCTTCCAAGGGGGAAAAGGGAGTACCATGAGACTGAGCCACCTGTATCCCATCTGGTTTCATTATTAAAAATCAATATGGAGTTCATCAGATGATAATCTAACACCTGCACATCAACATCACTTATTGCCCACGTCACACGGCAGGGGATCCAAAGTGACACTATCTTTCAGATCCCAACTGTTATGTGTCACCACAAGGCAAGAGACAATGTTCTCGACTGCAACTGCCCTTGGTGTCACTAATCAGACATGGCCTATCCCATCTCCTTCACATTTCAGACTATCAATTTCTATCACCCATGATCTCAGCTGTCGGATGTTGACATTTTCTAAATTATTATCGAATCTCTCGTGGCACTCCTCAGGGCTGAATGTGGCCACATGTGGACGAAGAGATTTGGTTCTGTATGTGAACCTGCAGAGTCAGCAGATGGTCTGACTGCCTGGAGGCAAATTTGGGAAGTTTCATCAAGCTAGTGCTTGATGACTGGGACAGTCATTTTTCACCTCCTTGTCACTGTGGTGGGCCACACACCCAGGAGACCTACAGATTGCATGCCCAGAAAGTAGAATTCAGAATCCACAGCTCTTGAAAGTGAGGCCACTAGTGGTATTCTGCAGGTCGTCATCACCTGGACATCCCACCACAGGGTAAACAGGACACTGTGACACAGGTGTAAAGCCAAGAATGAGAAATTATAATGCAGAAGATGGGATGTCCGTCAGAAGTTTCTACAGCAGCTGCCATCAAGGAGAGACAATCCCTGGGTAGCAGACCCCATCTCCACCCAAGATTGGCCATGCAGGAATAAGGACTGGGTCGGTGGGGAAGAAGAACCAGTGTCCTAACATGGAGCTCCCGATCTGAAGGACTTAATGCCACAGAAACTCATTTCTTACTCACACCACAGTCCGAACACAAGGGTTCAGAGGGCGTTATGATTTATATCCCCTGAAAGCCTCCAGTGATCACAGGGGCATTTGGGGGAGATGACTGGATCTGGGGGACTTGCAGCAGCTGACCTACTGTTAGGAGATGAAGTCTGGTGGGAAGAGGTGGGTCACTGTGGGCGTGACCTGGAAGGTTTACTTCCCTCCCTGGCTCCTCCCCTGATTCTCTCTGCTTCCTGTCCGCTGTGCCAAGAGCAGCTCTCCTCTGCCATGTTTGTCCTGCCTTGGAGTCAGCCAACTATGGACTAAAACCTCCCCAAACTGTGAGCCAAAAATAAACTTCTCCTTCTTCAAGTTTCAGTTTTTAGGTATATTGTCCCAGCCGTGAAGAAAACAACTAAAATGGTGGGCAACTTCCACGGGGTAATTCAGGGATTCAGGTTCCTTCTATCCTGTGATCTTACTGTGTAGTGAAATCTCAGATGCCCCCACTGGACCATCCACAGTCAGCTTGCATGTGGGAAAAGAGAAAAGGATGAGGCAAGGAAGAGTTCGACACACAGGCCAGGAAGTGGTGTAAACATCCTCTCCCTCTGCCTTGGTCTGGTCAGACTCATGGCCACACCTAACTGCAAAGGAGGCTGGGAAGTGGAGTCAGCCAGGAGTAATGTGAACATATACCATTCTAGGTCAGGGTCACAGATAGGGGTCTATCCTAGGCACATTCCCAATGAAACAACTCCTGCCCAGGACATGAGCCACCAGAGCAGGGTGGAGGGTAGCTGCTGAGGTCTCTCCCAAAGACAAAGCCCCGCAAACAGTTCTGGGGTCGGGGAGGAAGAGGGGCCAACCTCTCCCACTAGCCCACTTAGAAACAGGGAGGTTGTGTGAGCCACTTCCCTTCTCCCTGTTCAACCATAAACACAGCATCATCCTAAGGAAATCGATTACTGACACCAGCCAGAGAGACAGTGGGAGGCACCTAGATGCTTGAAGCCTGAGTTATGAAGTCCTTTTTTCTTCCTTTGCCCTTGAGTCCCCTTTTTTCCCCACTTTGTCCTGCCGGTTTCTGCTGCTACCATCAAGTGATCTTTAATATTTGTGGCTACTTACACATACTCTGAGGTGTACACTTGCCAGTTCTTTCCTCATCTTACACAAGAATCTGGACTATTTTTGGCCCCCTCAACTATAGCACCTCCTCAGACTGGTCTTCCTGCCTGTCTCTCAGGAGGCCTCCACTCTTGTCTTGCTGCTGGGAGCTGCCTAGGCCCCTGGAGACTCTGGAGGCGCCCATGTGCCCTTTCCATTTCTGCCCACCTGTAGACCTTCTAGAATGTGGTGCCTGTGTGAATCAGGGCTCAGTCCTTCACACCCCAAATAACAACAGGAAGCAGAAATATTTGCTCTCCTACCTAGAACACTTGGCCACGCCCCTGTCCTTATTGGTCCCTGCACCCTCCTGACCTATGCTGATCTGTGTACTGAGGACAGGCCACGGACCACCTATCTCCTCACCCTTCCCTAACACGCCAGGATCTTTCCTTTGCATTTGCATGACTCACAGTAGACGTCACCTCAAAGAAACCTCTAGGATCTCCCAGAGATGATGGTGTATCGATCTATGTCCCGACACAGCACCCCGATCCTACCCATCGACGTTGCTACTGTTTATACTCTAAATGTAAACCTTTAGGAAAGACAATCTATATTTGATTCAGCAGTATATCCTCCATGGCCAGAAAAGTAATTGCACATCACTCGGTAGGTAGGTGTGTGTTCATAAAATGTTTGTTGAATGAACGAATGAATGCCAGTATGCCTGTATTTTAGGTAGCTGCCACCAGGGGGCAATAATGCTCTTCAGGTTGTGAAGGTAGATAGGCTGCTGTCAGGAACATCTGAAATAAATTGAAGTTTGCTCCCATAATCCAAACACCTGGTTAATTTTCTATTAAGTATATCAGTTTTTTGAAGTAACTGCAAAGTCAGTTCTCAAACTGGGTTTCCTATGAAAGATGTAACTAATGAAATACCATAAGGAAAGGAAGAAATGGAGAAAGCCCCACTAGGGTTTGTTTTTTGATTTTTATTTTTTGAGGCAGGGTCTTGCTATGTAGTTCAGGCTGCCCTTGAACTCACATTGTAGCCCAGGATGGCCTTGAACTCAAAGCGATCCTCCTGCCTCAGCCTTCCAAGTGATGAGATTACGATTGTGCGCCACCATGTCTGGCAACTGGGATTATTTGAGGTCCTGTGGGAGCTAAGAAGTCTGTCCCTTCTCTCAATAAGGTAGTGGGAGATGAAGTAACATAAGGTATGCGTGGGATGGAAGTAAATATGGGCCTGGAATCCCACATAACTGCACGATGGGAAGGTGTTGCCAAGGTAAATTAATAGGAAAACAGTCGGGTGATGTTTACCAACAGAGTCAGTTTGGGGTGTATTAACTTACTGCATTTGCTTTCTTGAATAAGCTGCTGATTAGAACAATCATTTTAAAAGATGTAGCCTCTCCGTGGAATTGACCAAATTATTCTGTCTGCCTGGTCAGGCTGCCTAGAAACTAGGAAAATTGCCAAGGTGAGGACTGGGAGCCACGTGGGGGCTGCTTTGCAGAGCAGAACAAATACCCCTCTCTCTTTCTCTCTCTCTCCGTTTCCTTGGCACAGCAAAGTGAAGACTCTTTTCTCAAACTCAAGTCCTAACATCCCCTCTCCCCCAGTACTGGGTATTGAACCCAGAATTTTCACTCTGGACTACATTCCCAGCTATTTTTAAATATTTTATTTTGAGATAGGATCACATTAAATTGCTAAATTGCCCAGGTTGGACTCAAACTTGAGAACCTCTGCCTCAGCTACCCAGGGTTCTGGGATTACAGGCATGCATCACAACATCCTGCTCTAACGTGTGTTTAAATTCACATTGTTTTACATCAGAATCACCAAACGGCAAAGTTGAGATTCACATCATATCTCTTGTCAGTGTAGTATAGACACCTCTCCTTTTCCTGACAAGTTTGGACACTGGTCAGATACGAGTTTGGGTTCAGACGGGACTTCGGCTCACAGCCAGGGTTGGAGGAGCTGCTAGACCATCAGGCAGCCAGGACACTATATGGAGCAGACACAAGGACAGGCTCAGGACAGAGGCCCAGGGAGGACAATGGATGAAGTGGATACCCTGTGCTTGGGGAACTAGCCACCAGTGATGGCGACTTCAGACCCAAGTCAAGAACACAGAATGCGGATATTGCGTAGACTCCGGGTCAGTGCCAACATCGGGATTGGAAACGTCTGGACTTCGCGGCATCCCAGGCACCAAGGTGCCTGCCTGGCCTCTCTTAAATCATCCAGTTCCAAGGAACTCCCATCCTTATCAAGCAGCTTTAGCTTTGTCGCTCGGCTTTAAGATCTATGTCACATTTCCCCAGAGCCCTAAATCAGGGAAGCCCCAGAACTCTCATGCCTACCCTGTACTGAGACCTCCACGTCCTTCTTTCTTCCGATGGTGACAACTGTCCCTTGCTTCAGGCAAGGCTGTGACAGTCTCCCTGTGACTGAGAAGTTACGCTCCTGCTTGGCTGGTCACTGAAAGGAGACAAGGACAAGCCTTGAAGTCCAGCTGCTCGTGTCCTGGCCTGTTTCCACCACAGGACTCTGCCGTCACACGGAATGTATCACCTTCCCAACAAAGCCACTGGGGTGCTTGCTGCCTCCAGGCCAGACAGGGCCCACAGCAGGTGTGGGAGCCCACATGAACCATCCACGGAAACACCATTCAAAGAGAGCCAGACAGACAAACCAGGTGCAGCTGAGACCGGTGACAGAGACTGTTGCTCCTGAAGAGTAGAAGGCTCCACCTGCCCAAGTCTCACCCATCCTGGTACTTCAGAGACTCCTGGTACTTCAGAGACTGGGCCCCAGTGTCACAACTCTGCCTGACACCTGCTCCTGGCAAAGAGTATACATTCTGTATCTGTCATCATGGGATCAAGAGTTTGTCAGTGTTTACCATTCCTATAAAGAAGATCTAGAAAGTTCATAATCCCGGAGTTCTAGAATGCCCGAATTCTACAGCCACAGGTAAGGAGGTTTCAGTGACATAATTACAGAAACAGTTTGTGGGATCCAGACGCCCAAATGAGTGTCTGAGGACAGTTTGGGTGACTGCAGTCCATAAATCTCTGTTGGGTGTTATCACTCCAAACAGGCAGGATGTAAAATAACCAAACTTTTGGATCAACCTAAGGCACCTGGATGAACTCCTCCATCTTAAATGCTTTTCAGAGCCATAATGAGTGCAGCAGACCAGGAAAGTTCATCAGCCCTGGACCAGAGCTGTGCTTTCTTGGCCAGCATGAAGTCAACCAGTCCCATGGCAGTGCGGAGTGACTTACATGTGGCAGAGGTGTCTGCAGGGCCCTCAGTGGCAGTTACACAGCATGTTCTGAAAGGACATCAGCAAGCCAAGGTCAAAAGTCCCTGGGACCCTGGACAGGATAGGTCCAGGCCTGCTCCAGAACACTCTCCCCTGTCCTTCTTCAAACCCAATGGGCACCTCCCACAAAGGACTGACCCTGCACCCACAGGTTCCTTGAAGTCATCCCTGCTCTGTAGGTGAAACTGTGTGATCACCCACTCTCCACGGGAACCAGCCGGGTGCCATGTTATCAGTGCAGGAAGGCGGGGCTCTCCACCCTTTCCCCAAATCCTGGAATGGGAAGGTGGAGAGATGAATATATTTACCCACCTCTGCTTCTTCCTTGTCCCTCAGGCTCATGTTGTCCCCCACTACTCAGTTCCCACTCTTCGCAGTCTCTGCAAAGAGTCTTGTCACTTGATCCTGGTCCACAGAATACAACATAGGGCAGGAGATTCTTCTGCAAGTGCTCCTGGCCAAAGCAAAGGAAGTTTTCTTCTTATGTTCATCTGGCCTTCCTAAATTTCTAAATAAAATGAATGTATATCACTTTTAGAACAGGATAAAAGTTCTAGAGTCTTTTGGATTGGGTCAAAGCATCTGATAGGAGGGTGTCTGATATGTGCACTGGGGGTGTTTGTTCCTCTACCTGTGCCTGAGAAATTCACCCCAACAATATGGGGTCAACACCATCTCCCCACATTTGTGCATGTTTGGTTAATAGAAATTCAATCTTGACCACAAAATGTGGAACATTTCACCCTAAATTTCTCTGCTTTGGAAAGACATTCCACTCAGCCCTTTCTGATGCACAGGAAGAAGAGAGCTGTTTTAACATTTCTGCACATGGCTGCTTTTCAAGGATGGCACTAAGAAAGACACGGAAGATACTAAATTCCCACCTGTGGAAGACTATTCTCTGACATGAATGCCACTTGTGCCAAGGCCAGCATTTGAGGGCCTTGAATTTCGGAGCTGGAAACTACTGGTTCCAGATTTATGACCATTGCTGTGTCTCAGCCATCTGTTCCCGCACACATCTAAAATGTATGAAAAGCAATTTCTCTAAAAGATACTGGCCAGGAAGTACAGGGTAGGAATATCTCACCTAGCCAGAGTCACTGTCACATTGGCCAATTCAGGCCTTGCCCATTTTAAAGAAGCATTTCTCATCTTTAATAGAATCTACCCCGTGCCATTGGAAGTATTAGAAAGCAGTCAGGTCTGCTTCAAATGTCCAGGAAATGCCACTATCTTCTTAGCACAGCAGGCAGCGCAGCAGTCTCATAAATGTCCAGGAAGTATCCCTCATCAAAAATCCTTGGCAATTTCCATCTGTAGAGTTAAGTATTCATGTGGTTCTTGTGAGAGTATAGAGTCCTTTCAGTATTTTTCTTCTCAGCCTTCTTTTTTCCTTTTAACATCTGTTATTGAGTCTTTATACCATGTCTACACTTTGATTCCAGAAGTTAGTTCCACTGTGTCCCTTTCCAAGAGACTCAGTTATGCCATGGAATCATTTCTAGTCCAGAACCATCAAGTTCAGATGCAGATAACTGTCCTGAGCAAAATCTCAAGGACAGATGAAGAAGGCACTGTACGTACTATTTTGTCCTTCAATGGGGAGAATTTGGCTTTCAGGTGATTGTGAAGCACAGCTCATCATTCTCATCTATGCCACACTTTTGCCCATAAATCTTAGATTCTCAGGAAATGTCTACGCATCAAAAATGTAACCCATTATCAAAGTGACAGAGTGGTCATGTGTACAGCATACATACAGATATGCACTCATCATAAGCAAGAAATCTCCCTACGAAAGGAGATTTAGAGGTATCTCAACATTTTTCAAGTTGAATCCGAGCCAAAATTAAGCTCTTTCAAATTCTACCTACTTGAATCTGAATTAAATCTGAATTTGATTAATTGAATTACATCTGAGTGACCTCAGTCTTTGGAGTTTGCTTTTCAGACTGATGTATGTGTAGATGGAATCTGAAAGACAGCCCCTGCCCCGTCTCTCCCTCCCTCCCTCTCTCGGGTTTCAGTAACATACAATTTCTAAAAGATATGGACCCAGACTAACCGGCATAGTTTGGGGATATGTGATATTGTTGGTTTCAACTCTGTTATGATTTGCTTTTAAATATTTATTTGTGAAATATAAATCTTGTGAAGATTGAAATCTGCTCTAGAGAAGTGATGGATACTTTTGCTGTTGCTTAATGGAACTGTTGAATCTTCTTGGAAAACAAAAAGATTCTGTTATATAAACAAGTCATCCCAGTGAAGTACAAAATAATTCTAGAGCATGCATTGCCACTCCTTGTGAGTGAGATTTGAGCTACAGTTGTGTAGATGGATGACAAAATGGGTGCTCTACGAAGAGCCTGTACAGCTAATTGGCTATAAAAATATGAGCTACTCCAAAAAGGCTTAGAAATTAGAGTCTTTGGTCATTAAAAATGACAAGCATCCTGTTGAAAAAACACAAAAAAATATCATGAGCACATTTTTTAATTCTTTTCCATCGATTCATCCCCATGGTTAATACAGCACCTGTCACATAAGGATGTCCAGTCTGTTTTGTTCTGGCCAACAGAGAACTCTTTCTGGTGGGCTACTCTAATTTTCTGTCAGTCAGAATGATGACTTGGGGTGTTAATTTTCATTCAGTATAAAAGATCAGGTCGGGACTTAGGGAACGGTGTAACATCAATGTATAACTGTCACAAATGAGCACTGTGATGGTTAATTTTAGGCTTGACTGGATTAGGGATTCTGTCTTAATTACTTTTTCATTGCTGGTACAAAATACCCAATACTCACAAATTAAAGGAGGGAAGTTTACATTAGCTCACACTTTGCAGAGGTTTTAGTCCATAGTCACCTGGCACCAAAGCATGGCAGAGGAAAAACAGTCCATAGTGGGGTAGGCAGGAAGGCAGCAACAGTGAGTCTTCCTTTCTCTTTTAACCCATCCAGGCTATAAGCCTATTAGGATGGTGCCACCCACACTCAGGCTGGGCTTTGCCATTATCCACATTCAGAACTCTGCTAAACCAATCAGCCGCTAATCTAGTACTGCATACCCTTAATCCCAGTATCATGCACCCATGATCCAGCCACCTCCCAAAAGCCCCATCAATGGGTGCATGAGGCTTTGGGGGAACATCTAGATACAAGCCATAGCAGATTCCTAGAGAGCTGGTAAAGAATTGTTTTTGGGTGTGTCTGTTCAGTTTCCAGAGGAGACTGATATATGAGTTAATAGACAGATGGGGAAGATCTGCCCTTGGGAAGGGTGGGCACCATCCAATTGGCTGGGGGCCTGGATAGAACAAAAAGGCTGAGAGAAGTTAAATGTGCTTGCTATCACTTCTGAAGATAGGATGTCCTTTTTCTCCAGCCTTGGAACATTAGAACTCCAAGCTCTCTGGACTCCGGGACTTGTACTGCTTCTCCCATGATCCACCGATGCACCATTTCTCAGGCTGTTGGTCTTTTCTGAGAGTTAAGCCTTTGGCTTCTCTGGTTCTGAGACCTTCAGACTTAGATTAAGCCACCCTACCAGCATCCTTGGGACTCCCGGTTACAGGTCGCCTGTCATGGGACAGCTTAGCCTTCATAATTGCGTGAGTCAATTCTCCTAATAAATCCCCTCTCATCCATCCATCCATTGTATTGACTCCATCTCTCAGTAGAGCCCTAACATCTTTACTGCCCCACAGGGGTGAATTGGCATTTTATAGACACATGAGCCACGACAGCCATGGGCATGGAGACCCCATGTCTGGGGACCAGATGGGAGAACACACCCTTCCCACCCCAAATAGATAGGAATAAACTATTCATACTCACAGACGCTCGGGTCACTTGGTCTACCATGCATGCAGCCAACAGCACTTCCCAGAATGATTAGGAATAGAGATAGATGAGGAAGGGAATCGTCAGCTCTTTAAAAACATTTCACTGAGCATCACTTGTGCATGGCAGGCGTGCTGTTGGGATTACAGAGATGAATGAGACACAGAAAGCCCTGAGAATCCGTGGGAGACAGGTGCGAAGCAGCTCTTGGCAGTGCGGTGAGAAGAGCACGGAGTGGGATAGCGGCGCGTTCCCAGTATGAGCAGAGCCAAGCTGGCGTGAGGTTGGATGAAGTACACCCAGGTCATAAGTCGTCACCCTTGTCACGAAACTCAACCTTACTCAGTACAGAATAAGCACTGACCGACATCTGTGGGCAAAAGGGATCTCTGTGGACGGGTGCGCCTGCCGTGGAGCTGCCTGGGACCGGCTCCAGAAGACTGATTGCTGAACGTTCGGGATCTTGCCAGCTGCTTGTTAAATATGGCCATTGTTAAAAATTAAAATCGATCTTTGCAATTAAATGAATCATACTAAAAATAAATAGAATAAATACTAAAAATGTATAACTTCTTAATTATTTTACTCCACTTTACCATTATCTCTGCCCTTGAATGGGTTTTTAAGGTCTGTTGGCTAAGCATAATGGAATTCTGTCTAACGGTGGGTAGTGCCCATCTCTTTCGACTCCTGTTCACCACATTCGTGTTAGTACTTTGATGGATGGGTGGATTTATGCCACAGAAGTCAGCAAACACTCAGAGCAGGGATGATCCCCAGACTACAGAAAAACCATTTGCCATAGGTAGGGGCAAGGCCATGCAGGATAAAGACAGGGGACTTTAAACTGCAGAAAACTGGGAAGCAAATGTGGCAAGGAGGAGGGACAGCCAAGGTCAAGAGAGCACATTCTATGCCAGGGGTGGTGGTGCAAGCCTGTAATCCCAGCACTCAGGAAGCTGAGGCAGGAGGATTGCTGTGAGTTGGAGACCAGCCTGAGCTACACAGTGAGTTCCAGATCAATCTCAACTACACAGTGAGACCCTGCCTCAAAACAAACAAACAAACAAACAAAAAAAGACAGCACATTCTGGATGGCCTTTGAGACTCTGTTGGGACAATGGGCTGGAGATTTCAAAGGACTTTAGGAGAGATGTGATCATCTTAATGCAATCAGGGAGGATTGTTTAGCTAGAGAGTTAACAGACCCACCCTGAGCGACACACCTCCTGAGAAAAGGAGGCTCTGGTGGCTTCCAGCCTGGGAGACCTTTGGCTGGAAACATCTAGCAGAAAACTGGAGTCAGCCTTGGAGACATCTGGGCAGGGGCCCTGTACCAGACACATGCATGTGGCTGGCAGCAAAAAGTTGGAGTGTGTGTGGCCACCAAGGAGGAAAACAGTGGGCTGAGGATGGAGCAAAGGGGGAAATCAAGGCACAGATGGATGAAAAATGGTGTGGGGAGAGGAAGAGCAGGAACTATGAAGATGATGGAGTATAATGGAGACAGAGGGGAGAGTGCTTCAGAAAGTAGCGGTAGGAAAGAGATGATTTTTGAAACTGCCT